AAACAGAGAGGCCATTTATACACAGCAATGAAGTGAATGACCAATTTTAAATGTAGATTGAAATTCTTAACAGAAAAATGTCATTGCGCAAGTTTTGTATTGTAGTGAAACACTCATTTCACTGACTGCAGTAAACTTCTGTTTCTAGATGTTTTATTTTTCCACTGGTTATTGTATAAAAGGGTGTGTAAAAAAAAGTTTTCTTTCTTATGGTTTCAGAAAAAACAAAACTAAAAGATTCAGAGCATCCCCTCGTGTCAAGGATTCTGCATGGACCATGTGAGAAAATAGCACGGATATTCTTAATGGAGAAGGACCTTGGAGAAGAGGTCACTTGTGATGTAAGCTCTAGAGTGATTTTTTTAAAACCACATTTAATAATAATAATCCTTGCATTTGATATAGTGCCTGTAAAGTGAATTGACTGTATCTTTTGTGGGTGAAAATTTTAAACCTTGTTTCATGCCTTATACTAAATTTAATTTGGACTCTTTACGATAACTCTTCCTAAAGGTTGCCCAGTACATAAAGTTTGAGATGCCAGTCCTCGATACCTTTGTTGAAAAACTGAAGGAAGAAGAGGAAAGGGAAATTGTTAAGTTGACCACAAAGTAAGTATCTCTGTGATCTTCTACCTCACTGCACTGCTCAGCCTGTCCACTCAGCTAACTCAGGTCTCCTGTCCCTTCCTCCTCCGGAAGCCTTCACCTTCTACACTCTGAACGTCTGGAACTCCCTCACGCTACCCTCCATCTCATTTCCCACCCTCTCATCTCTCTTTAAATCCTACCTAAAAATGCTCTGAGCACTACAAGATGCTATTCTACATAATAATACCTTCAGATATGTCATGGTAATAGGACAAGAGGTCACGAGTTCAGGGATGTGAAGGGCAATTTTTGGACAGGCACCAAGAATATTTCTTTACAGTGTTAAGCAATAGCGGGATCAAGTTACGAAGAAGGTGGTTGAGGCTAGCACTTTGAAGTCATTCAACAATATAAAATTTTAGCTGGAAGACATAAAAGTTAAATTAGATCAAATAGATCGAAGGGTTTTTTAAATTCAAACCTCTCGAGATCCAGATTTAAAGAACTCTTTTCTTGGTGGGAGCAATTTTAAGAGGAGACGTATCATTGTTTTCAGTAGTTTATAGCTGCTGCTTTAATTGGTTTTGAGCAAGGACACAATAAACTGTGAGTGACACAACAGGATATTTACAGAGGGGGAATAAAGAAACTGGTTATGTCATTATTGTAGGTTTATGGAAGACTAATCTGTATTTGATTACCGACAAATTATACATCCAGTGTACTTTATGTGTCAATTTTACACAACAAAAGTATAACGTACCCTAAATGTAATGAGTAAGACAATTTCATAAACAAGGGAAATAATTTTCTCTCCTCCATGGTAACAAGAGTAATAAAATGGAAATCCCAACACAATATAAATTATTAGCACAGGAAAATATGTGACGTGCAGTGAATGATGATTGTGAGAAATAGACTACAGTACTCTGCTGCAATCTTAGAATAACAAACTGTGCCTTGTTGTGCCTACTAACCCTATCCTACGTTATCCTATGCCCAATAATGCCTTCAGATATGTAATGAAATAGGACATGGAAGTGTTAGGAATTTGACGGACAATTTTAGGGCAGGCACCAAGAAGTATTTTTTTACACAAAGGCAAGGAATTGCTCGAACAAGTTACCGAGAAGGGTTTTACAGAGCAATCCCAAATGAAAGGAATTTGAACCTTAAAGCGCAAGCTGCTAATAAATTGATTGAACATATATTTTACTTGCAAACAGATTTTAGCCTCTCAGTACACAAATTTCTCTGCAACTCCCATGGTAAACACATGTTCTTCTCCAGCAGAGCGTAGATCTTGTTGTGATAGTCCCTTGGATGATGATAACTATCACCCAAGTAATCATTAGGCTAGACAGTGAGTGTTGGTGGTCTGTTCAACATGGGGGTAGAGGTAAAGGGGTGCAGAAAGGGTGAAAGAGTGGTCAAAAGCACGGTGCTGAGGGAGTTTTCCCCCTCCTCACCCTCTCCCAGACTAACTTCACAGCAACTAGATTTAATACATGTAATGCTGTATAATATAATAATACTTGCATTTGACAAAGCACCTCATCACATACCTCATCACAAGTTACCAAGAAGGGTGGTTGAGGCTAGCACAAGGCACTTCACAGGTTATACTACACTGCAAAGTGTTGTGACTGTGTGTATTTTTTGTGTTATCAAAGATATAGAAAATACACAAAGATTAACACTAGTTATGGATTTTTTTTTCATTTAAAGGTATAGTGCATTGCGATCAATGATCCACCAGCAGATAGAACACTACGCAGATGCTGAAGATCGTGTTTGAAGGATTGGAGCTTTACATATTCCGAAGAACAACTGGTTTAATTTTTTTTCCAAAAAAATAGAAATTCAACTGAATGATGCTGTCTTTTATAGTGATAACTCCTGCAAAAATGTAATTTCTGTCGTTTGTTACCATCAACTTTTTTTTAAAAAAATCTTTGTATTAATATTATTGCACATACAATGCATTTTGTTGAATAATGCTTTTGCGTTTTAAATATTTTACTTCTGTTACCAAAATTGTCCTGAAGGTAAACCAAGCCACTGTTTGATTCAAAGCAAGTGTTTATATGTGCGAATGTACATTTCAGAAGAATGTTTTTCCAACATTAAACTGCGAATTACAATGTTGCAACTGTTTAATATCCACATGATTCATTAACTACATCTGAAAGATGAGGCTGCATACTCACACTAGACTGTGGGTGATGTAGCTATGAGCAAAAACACTGGATTTTTTTAGCCACCTGGGTCTAGCTTTACTCTATTATATTACGTGCTCTTGGATGATGAAATGCGCGATATAAATGCAAATTGTTGTTGTTTTCTTAGAGTTTCACTGTCCACTATTTAGCAAATTGGTGAATTCAGCCTTCATTTTGTCGTTAATTTTCTGTAAATTCTTTTAATCATAGGAAAAGCGACTTTAAAATTTGGAACTGAATTCAACAATTCTTAATGGTCTGAACCGCTAAGAAAATAAAGTGAATATCGACCCTGGTGGAATTTCTGGACAAACTTTAATCAAATGGAAAATAATAATTTTCCACATTGTCACATTTTTTGTAATCCATCATTGTTTTATGGAGATGTTTGAGGTGATAAATATTATTGTGTCATTGCAAATTAAACTTTTTTTTTGCTTTTGATGTTTGTGCAAGCACTCCAGGATGCAACCCGGTGTGAAGGGCGCTATATAAAAGCAAGTTGTTGTTGTTGCATTGAATCAAAACTACCTACGGCATCTTTAGCAATGGAGATGATGTATGAACTGGGAAGCACAGAAAACAAGAGTAAAAGTGGCTTGTTATTGGTTGTTGCTTACACTATAGTACCCTTTCTCTGCTTTATTTTAAAAGAAAACAGAATAAAATGTGTTGGTTACGTTTTAAATCACAGGTTCGCCTTTATTCCTAATTTCTGAATGTGTTAAAGTAACAAGATTGAGTCAGGTGAATATCATTGGGATATTGACTTTACACTAAGAAGCAAATAACACAATGAGATTGCAGACCAAGGAGATTAGTAAATAAAGCAGTGATTTTTTTATTACGGTATAATTCGTTCATTATAATCCTTTCATTTGCTATAACATCTTCTGCATCAGGAGGACGTCCCAAAGCACTTCACAGGATATTCTGTAAAGTGTAATGATTGTGTATTTTGCAGGCAAATGCGGCAGCCAATTTGCCCAAAGCTATGTCATGCAAGCAGCCATGAAATGAGTGACCCATGTTTATGTGTTGGCCAGGACAATGGGAAACTTTCTTCTCTCATCAAGCAGTGTTTTTATGTGTGTTTATTACCAGATGAATATCATTGGGATTGAAAAGGACTTTGCCTCCAGCAAGAAACTGCTTCAATCAATCAGTGAGATTGCAGAGCAGTGAGAATGGGAAATGAAGCAGTGAGATTGGGAGAGGAAGGAAATAAAGCAGTGAGATTGGGAGAGGAAGGAAATAAAGCAGTGAGATTGGGAGAGGAAGGAAATAAAGCAGTGAGATTGGGAGAGGAGGCAGTGGGGGATTGAGAGAGGAGGCAGTGGGATTGGGAGAGGAGGCAGTGGGATTGGAAGAGGAGGCAGTGGGGATTGGGAGAGGAGGCAGTGGGGATTGGGAGAGGAGGCAGTGGGGATTGGGAGAGGAGGCAGTGGGGGTTGGGAGAGGAGGCAGTGGGGGATTGGAAGAGGAGGCAGTGGGGATTGGGAGAGGAGGCAGTGGGGGATTGGGAGAGGAGGCAGTGGGGGTTGGGAGAGGAGGCAGTGGGGGATTGGGAGAGGAGGCAGTGGGGGATTGGGAGAGGAGGCAGTGGGGGATTGGGAGAGGAGGCAGTGGGGGATGGGGAGAGGAGGCAGTGGGGGAGTGGGAGAGGAGGCAGTGGGGGAGTGGGAGAGGAGGCAGTGGGGGAGTGGGAGAGGAGGCAGTGGGGGATTGGGAGAGGAGGCAGTGGGGGATGGGGAGAGGAGGCAGTGGGGGAGTGGGAGAGGAGGCAGTGGGGGATTGGGAGAGGAGGCAGTGGGGGATTGGGAGAGGAGGCAGTGGGGATTGGGAGAGGAGGCAGTGGGGGATTGGGAGAGGAGGCAGTGGGGGATTGGGAGAGGAGGCAGTGGGGGATTGGGAGAGGAGGCAGTGGGATTGGGAGAGGAGGCAGTGGGGGATTGGGAGAGGAGGCAGTGGGGGATTGGGAGAGGAGGCAGTGGGGGATTGGGAGAGGAGGCAGTGGGGGATTGGGAGAGGAGGCAGTGGGAGTGGGAGAGGAGGCAGTGGGGGAGTGGGAGAGGAGGCAGTGGGGGAGTGGGAGAGGAGGCAGAGGGGGAGTGGGAGAGGAGGCAGTGGGGGAGTGGGAGAGGAGGCAGTGGGGGAGTGGGAGAGGAGGCAGTGGGGATTGGGAGAGGACACCGGAAGGATTTGGTGAGGAGGGGCGGGTGGTGACGTGTCGCCGCTGAGGTGTGGGCGCAGCGATCACTCGGGTCGCGGTGTTTCGCCGCCGCGGAGCAGAGACACGGAGACAGACAGAGAGACAGACAGAGACACAGAGACAGACAGAGAGACAGACAAAGACACAGAGACAGACAGAGAGACACAGAGAGACAGAGACAGACAGAGAGACACAGAGAGACAGAGACAGACAGAGAGACAGACAGACAGAGAGACACAGAGAGACAGAGACACGGAGACAGACACAGAGAGACAGACACAGACAGACAGACAGACAGACAGACAGACACGGCGGAGGCAGTGATGGCGACCCGCGGGGCACGGAAGCCGCTGGTGGTGGTGATCGGTTGCGGTATATCCGGCCTCGCGGCGGCGGCCAAACTCAGGTCCGGGGGGAGACTGACAGCCCGAGTGCTGGAGGCGAGCGGGCGGCCCGGGGGCCGCATCCACAGCCGCGACTTCGGTTAGCGATGCGCTGAGCGACCGCCGCCGCCACCGAGAGGCACATCGACACATACATAGATTATGTATAGCAGTGGGGAGATGGGCAGCAAAAAAGCAATCGGTTGCATTAAATTTATTTTAGCAAAAAGGATAAAAAGTGTTCAGCTTTTATATATATATATATATATGTGAATTTATATATATATATATATATATATATACGGATATACGAAGCACCGGCGTTGGTGGTGGAAAATGACTCTTCGCTTCCTGGACTGTCAGTTTGCAGTCAAAGGGACTGTGACAAACTGTCAGGAATAAAATGTGTATATGTTTTTCCCCCCCCCCCCCCCAAAAAAAGGGGCTGCACGGGTTTGATTCCCGGACAGGTCGAAAGTTCACGCGAGTTTTTCCGCCCTCCGCACTCCTCCGTTTTACTGAGCAGTAAATGGGAACCTGGATGTCGGTCGATTGGACCCTCTTCCAGTGGGTAATAATCCCTCCAAACAAACACACACACACACCATAAATAAAAATAATATACAGTCAATTCACTTGACGGTAGGTTCCGCGATGCTCTTTGAGACGTCTCAGAGACATGAGGAGGCGCTATATCAAATGCAAGGATTACTGTTGTTGTTATTGTTGTTGTGCTCAAATACTCATTCAGCGAAAGGCATGGTCGAGATTGGTGCACAGTGGATCCATGGCCCGTCGGCGGAGAACGCTGTCTTCCAGCTGGCCTGCCAGCACAATCTCCTGGATGAAAAGGTGATGTCCGAGGAGAACCAGGCAGTGCAGTCGGATGGGTACCCGCCTGGCCGGTCAGTCTTTTACTCCAGCTCAGGGAAGAGGCTTGGACCAGAAATAACAGGTCCTGCGAAGGATCTGTATTCATGTATTCATCTCAAAGACCAATCGAAGGAGGGACTGGTCCCCAGTTTGGGTGAATTTCTGAAACTTCAACTTTCTCAGCACACGAGAGACTGGAAAGAGGATGAAGAAGATTTCAAGCTTAAACTTGCTATGTTCAATATGCACATCAAATTGGAGTGTTGCCTTTTCGGGTCCCACAGCTTGGATGAGGTTGGGCTCGAAATCGTTGAGGAATACAGGACATTGCCTGGTATTGATTGCGTTTTTCCTGGGTAGGTGTCAAAACAAATTGTGTATTGCGTTGATCTGTGCGGGCTTACAGCTTATTTATTATAACTAGTAACACTCTCCATCAACTCTCCCAGTCGTCTTACTGCAGGAAAGAGAAGACATTAGCAAAAAAACAGATGTCTGAAAATGACAGTTATGAAAAGCGTAGATCTGTATCTCCTTTGCCCTCTTATCCTATACTACCGGCCTCACCACCCGCTGCGACTCGAACATCTCTGCACCTATCGCCTCTCGCTCTCGCAGGTCCAAACTGCCTTCTACTCCAAAATGATTCTGGAGCCCAAAAACAACCCAAAGGCATTATTCTCCACCATTCATCATCTCCTCCGCGAACTCTCTCTCAAGCTGCTTACATCCTCAAATCCAATACCAAATGCGAAGAGGTCCTCGACTTCTTTGTCTCAAAGATTGAAAACATCCACTTGGCTGCAGCCTCCTCTGTCCCTACTTCCCCTTTCACAACCTCCAGACCTTCTTCCACCATGGCTCCTACGTCTCCCCCCTTCTTACACTTCTTTGCCCCGATTTCTTCCCCCTCCCTCGTAACCACCATCTCCCAGATGAGGTCCACCATTTGCTGACTCGACCCCCTTCCCACCCAGTCACTGGTCACTGAACTCCTCTCTCCTCTGCTGGCAGACACAGTCAACCAGTCATTCCCCTCAGGTTCTGCTGAAGGACAGCTGTGGGTCAAACCTGACGCCTACTTTCTGCACCACTGCCTACACTCGACTGGCTCCAGCCTCCTGATTTTCCCTCGTGCCACCATCGGTAGCCGTGCTTTCAGCCACTACGCCCCACAAATCTGGAACTCTCTCCCTTTGCCTTGCCCCCTCCTTCCCCATGTTCAGGTTGCGCCTAAAGACCTTCCTCTTTGACTGTACCTACGGTCACCTCCTCTGGCTCGGCATTGTGTTCTGCAATTTTTTGTTGTTACTACACTTTTGATACTGTAAATTATAATTGTGTGTTCAGTGAGTCTCTTGTTAACATTATAATTGTGTACAGTGAACATTGTAATTGTGCACAGTGAATCAGTGAGTAGAATTTTTGAAGTGTTGATCCTTTGCTTCAGATGTGGGCAGGTTACAATTACTCTATGCGTGTGTCTGTCTGTATGTGTGTTAAAAAAAAGTCACTTTTGATTTCTATATCCATGTTTTAGTCCTCCCAACGTGAAAGGCGCTATACAAATGTAATCTTATTGTTGTTGTTGCTTAGTGGATTTTCAACCCTCATTGATGCAATGATGAAATCCTTGCCTGAGAACATTGTGTCTTACAACAAGCCAGTGAAGTGCATCCATTGGAATGGATCTTTCAAAGGATCAAACGTAATGGAAAGTTCTTATCCAGTTCTGGTGGAGTGTGAAAACGGCGAGATGATACCAGCGGATCATGTTATAGTCACCGTTCCTTTAGGTAATTAATAATTGAATTCTTTCTCTGGCTGTCAGAAAAATAAAAACATCTTCCTCTGATGAGCTCAGTGGTTAGAGCACTCGCCTCGCAAGCGAGAGGACCTGGGTTTGATTCCTGGACTGGGCAAGTTTCCTTACTCTGTTTACCTAGAAGTAAGTAGAAACCCGGTTGTTAGTCGATTGGCAGATTGGTTTTCCAGTGGTAATAATCCCTTCAAAACAAATGAAAAATATAATAATTTGGTCACTCGATCCACGACTATTTGTGGAACATTGCTGTGCGCAATTGGCTGCTGTGTTTCGCCCACAAAATATACAGTCAATTCACTTTACAGTATATTCTTCGAAGCACTTTGAGATGTAGAAGTGATAAGGTGCTATATCAAATGCAAGGATTATTTATTTTATTAAGTGAATTCTGTACAATGTATGTTGTGGGAGGGAGTGGGGGAAGGGAAGAGTAAGCATCAATAATAGTGAAGAACCTGACTTCTATATATTGTCTCTGTTTCATTGAGAATTTCAAGTAAATAACGGGCGTTTATCTAAAAATTATCAGCGCAAGTATTTTGATAGTCTGAAATTGCAAAAAAAACTCCCTATTTGTATTAATGCGATTCTGTACCAAATTATGTATTGGTTCATAATTGTTTAATTTATAATTCCCAAGTTTTCAATAAGTTTAGTACTTACTCCAGGTGAAGATAATGCTATTTGTTCTTTAGGTTTCCTGAAGGAACGTTATGAGACTTTTTTTCATCCCCAACTTCCCTCCAACAAAATTCAATCCATTCAGAAAATGGGATTTGGATTAAACAACAAAATCTTTCTTGAATTTGAGGAGCCTTTCTGGGAGCCAGAATATGACATGATCAGACTGGTCTGGGAGGATGAGTCACCATTAGTTAGTCTGAGGCCAGATTTGGAAAACGAATGGTTCAGAAAGATTTCCATCTTCCTTGTCCTTCAGCCTGCAGAAATGTAAGTATGTGTTTTAACATTTTATTTTACTGTTTAAATAACTTGCAAATAGTGCATTGAAATTGTAGAAAAAAAACATTAGCCACTAATATACATGGTTCCAGATTATATCCTTAACCCTTTAAAGAAAGGTAGCATTTCCTACACAAAAGAATACAGCAGATTTTTGATTGGGGAATATTTTAAATTAAGGAACTTTCTGATTCCACGCAATCCTTCGTTAGAATCGACATGAAAGGCTCTATACAATTGTAAATTTGTTATTGTTATCATTTTTTTAATTTTTGAAAGTAAAATGTCAGTGTTTTTCTGCGGTTATATGGCAGAAAGCAAACAGGTGAAATAAACGAGTCCAGGTTCTTAACTGAACACATCATTAAAAAGGAAGTCTGAAGGAACTACTTTCTGTTCAAAGCACTTTTCCCGACAGCCATAAAACCCATAGTTATAAAGATGTATATACAATAAAGTTTTCATTGGTATAGCGCCTTTCGTGTTGGGAGGATAACCCAAAACTGCTTTTCATGTTCACAACAGTATATTTTTTGTCATGAAATGCAGTATAATTTTGTGGTTTTAGGGATTCATTATTTTAGATCTCTGATTTTTCACCCTCATCACAAAACGATTTGCTGGGAAAAGCTTAAAATCCTAGAACTTTAATGGAGACTAGCCTGAAAGACAATCTGGAGCTTCCTGACTCTAGCCTCTCGAGCAAATATTGAACATATTCAAGACTGAGATAGATAGATTTCTTATTGCAAAAGGGATTAAGGGATATGGGGATAAGGCAGCGTTAGGTTATTAGCTGGAGTTAGATTAGAAGATCAGCCATGATTGAATGGCGGGGCAGACTCGAAGGGCCGAATGGCCTACTCCTGCTCCTACATGTTATGTTATGTTATGTTAAATGAGCACTTCAATAGAAAGTACACTTCCCAAGATTTTCTTTCCCCATCAGAAGATTATTTGGAATTCAGGAAATGTATGAATCCAAGAATGAATTAATATTATTACAATGTGAAAACAATATTCCTACACAAAAATGCTACTGTGTTGCTAAAATATTTAAGCTGTTATGCAAATAGGATTAAATTCAATTGTTTTCATGTGCAGAATGTTACACTGTTACAGGGCTGTAACAATGACTGAATATTTCTCAGATTCTCAATTCTCTTAATCCTTCTTACTTGCAGTCATGGTCACGTCCTTTTGGCTGTGCTTACTGGGGACGAAGCTGAATTCTCTGAGACCTTATCTGATTTAGAAGTCAAAACTTGTTTGACACGTATGTTGCGTAGATTTACAGGTACATTATCTCCCAATTATCTTTCCTTCCCCACATCCGGGTCCCTCACCAGCACCGCCTTCTTCCACCTCCGACACATCGCCCGTCTCCGCCAATACCTCTCTCCGAAAGCCGCTGAAACCCTGATCCATGCCTTTGTCACCTCTTGGCTGGACTATTCAAACGCCTCCTCACCGGTCTCCCCTCCACTACCATCCATAAAATCCAGATTATTCAAAACTCTGCCGCCTGCATTCTTATGCGCACCAAACTCCGCTCCCCGATTATTTCAGTCCTTGCCAGACTGCACTGGCTGCCTGTCGCAGAGAGGATCGACTTCAAGATCCTCACACTTGTCTTCAAATCTCCCTCCACTCCTCTGCACCCCCCTACGTCTCTGACCTCCTCTCTCCTCAAAACATTGCCAGTTGCCTTCATTCCTCCAAGTCTGGCCTCCTCCTTGTCCCCCGAGTCCTCCGCTCCACCCTCGGCGGCCGTGCCTTCAGCCACTATCCCCCGATGTTCTGGAACTCCCTTCCTCACTCCCTTCGCCTCGCACGCTCTCTTCCTATTTTCAAGTCTCTGCTGAAGACCTTTCTTTTTCGACTGCACCTTTGGTCACCTTCCTCCCCCTGGCTCGGCCCCGGGATCCATTACTGTGAAGCACTCTGAGACACCGTCCGGTGTGGAGGGGGCTATATAAATCAAAGTTGTTGTTGCTGTACATATTCTGTTGCTCTGAGTTACAACAATTCCAAAATATATTCAAGCATGCCACAATGTAACTTGTGATTTTATTTAGGAAATTCATCAATACCTCTACCAAAGAATATTGTACGATCGAAATGGCACAGTGAGCCTTACACTAAAGGGTCTTATAGTTACAATGCAGTTGGCAGCACTGGAGATGACATTGATATGATCGCACAACCTCTCCCATTTGAACCAACCAAGGCACAGGTACTGAACAGAATCGTTTTTGGGGGGGCATATTATAACTTAATTTTGGCACCCTGTAATCAACTGCCTTAGTTATTAGGTGAGACAGAAAGAGCCTAAAATGATATCATTAAACAGTGTTCTTGTCTCTTCGCTATCAAATATATTCTTTGTAGAACAATCTTTTAATTAGAAATTCAGGGGTGGACTTTGTGTGACCATTTAATACCATGAGAACTGTAATTTTTCAGCCTTTGCAGGTGCTTTTTGCTGGTGAAGCAACTCACCGGACATTTTATTCCACCACGCATGGTGCCTTGGAGTCAGGATGGAGGGAAGCAGACCGACTAATTGATCATTATTCTTTAATTTCCGTGGGCACAAGTTCAAATCCATAGATTGTGAGTCAGCTGCTGGGCTTTGTGTAGTTAGTACACAATAGTTTAAGAATACTTTTAAATGTTCCTACTGTTAAGGAAAAAATTCTAACATTACAATGTAACACTGAAGATTATGATAATTTTGCATCCTTTGTATATGTTGCTGGTTTACTTTTACAGGTAGTTACCAGTCTTGAGCTCAACGGTCCAATGATGAATTACTGATTCCAAATTGAGTTATTTAATTGGTTCTTTCATGCTGTAAATCTCCTCTCTAATGTTGTTGGATTTGAAAATGCCCAGCTGATGCTTATGCTCCCACAAAATGCTTAATTAAAAGTATAATTTTAAAAATTTAAGATAATATCAAATCCTCCATGGTAAGTAAGCTTTATATTTGGTATCAAAATATTATTATATAACACCTTTCACATCAGAAGGACATCAAAAAGGACATTTCACGGGATGTACTGTAAAAGCAGTGAATGTCAATTTTGTAGGGAAACGCGGCAGCCAATTTGCACACAGCAATATCCCACAAACAGTTAGAAAGTAAATGAACAATTTTATTTGGGCGATTGTTGGCCAGAACACTGGAGGAAAATTTATTCCCTTTTGGAATAGTGCCATGATATCTTTAATGTCTACCTAAACAGGCAGACCGGATCTGTTTAACATTTCACATGAAGGACAGTGCCTCAGCAATCCAATGTCGCCAGCATTGGAGTGTCAGCCTAGATTAAGTGAGTTTAAAGTCCCAATGTGGGGCTTGAACCACAGCCACAACCTATTGAGGCAAGAGTGCTACAAATTGAGCCAGGCTGACACACAGTGCTTAATAATAATAATCCTTGCATTTGATATAGCGCTTTATCACGATTTCAAGACGTCTCAAAGCGCTTCACAGAATATACTGCAAAGTGAATTGACTATATTTTGTGGGCAAAACGCAGCAGCCAATTGCGCTCAGCAATGTCCCACAAACTGTCGTGGATTGAAGTGACCAATTTATTATTATTATTATTAATAGCCAATGTCTAATTAAAATTGCTGCATGGGAGATTATTTTTTGTTTGTTCATTAAGAACGTCCAACAATCTATATTTTCTACACAATACATAAAAAATGTGTTCTCCTGATCACCAATAAATTTTAAAAAATTATGTTTCTGCATAATATTTTCTTGAAGATATACTGAACACACTTAGATTTTTGCCTTTCATTCTGTGGAATTGAGATTGACAAGTCTCCCAAGGCTCATTCTGAAACCTCTCCCTGGATCAATCCCAAATTGCTCCAAACTTCTCCTGCCAGCCAGGGCTGGATTAACCTTTTGTGGGCCTGTTGCAAGATTTGTGGGTCCCCACTTTTATATGCACACCACAGGCGCTGACAGCATCACCCTTCACAGAGGCACTTTACACCTCACTGAGCCAGTACAGAACCCGGTGTCTTGTTTGACCCTCAACTGTCCTTTATGCCCCATCTCCGTGCCATAACCCGTTCTGCCTTTTCCCCACCTCCGCAACATCGCCCGGCTCCGCCACTGATCCCATTTTGCATTATGGCTCAGGCTTCAACTCACATCCGACCTCCCCTGGATCAAAGGGCAATCGCACTGAGCCATTCCCTGGGACCTCAACCCCCGTGTCCTAATCCCAGGACCTCTTGGCCCCAGGAACACCTGACTCGCAGTTCATTCATCACCGCCCCTGCCTGATCACCTCAGCCCCCACACCCCGTGACTCAGAGCTGGTCCCAAGCCCCCAGTACATAACACTCTTCCCCCCCACCCCCACCACCATCCCCGGGTCCTCAACCACTTATTCCACATCTTGACCCAGACCTTACCCTGGATTAAATACCCCCCCCCCCACCCCCGGACATCAGCCACCTCACCCCCAGCTCATCATCTGATCCCAGACCCTCAGCCCCCCTCCTGATCCCAGACCCTCACCCCCCCCTCCTGATCCCAGACCCTCACACCCCCTCCTGATCCCAGACCCTCAGCCCCCCCTCCTGATCCCAGACCCTCACCCCCCCCTCCTGATCCCAGACCCTCAGCCCTCCCTCCTGATCCCAGACCCTCACACCCCCCTCCTGATCCCAGACCCTCAGCCCCCCTCCTGATCCCAGGACCCTCACCCCCCCTCCTGATCCCAGACCCTCAGCCCTCCCTCCTGATCCCAGACCCTCACCCCCCTCCTGATCCCAGACCCTCACCCCCCTCCTGATCCCAGACCCTCAGCCCCCCCTCCTGATCCCAGACCCTCAGCCCCCCCTCCTGATCCCAGACCCTCACCCCCCCTCCTGATCCCAGACCCTCACCCCCCCCCCACTCCTGATCCCAGACCCTCACCCCCCCCCTCCTGATCCCAGACCCTCGGTGTCCCGGGAACTAAAGTTCCCGCTGTGAATGACGGGGGGAGGGTATTTACTGTGACACAGGGCCCGGGTTTGGGGGAAGGTATAGGGGGAGGGACTCGTGACGAGGAGCGGCACCGGTCCCCCCTGAAGCCTCGGCCGCTGCCCCGAGCCCCGAGCCCGGGCTGATGAGCTGCCGCGCGGCTCTGTCTGCTCTCCGGGTCCGGGAGAGATTCGACTTCGGCCACAGAGATGTTACCCGATGGTTCCCGGGACACATGGCGAAAGGTGGGAATTACTGACAGTGGGAGAGGGAGGGAGTGGGAGAGAGTGGGAGCGAAAGAGAGGGGAGGGAGAGAAAGAGAGAGGGAGGGAGGAGGGAAAGAGAGGGAGGGTGGGAGAGAGGGAGAGAAAGAGAGAGGGAGGGTGGGAGAGAAAGAAAGAAAGAGGGAGGGAGAGAAAGAGAGAAAGAAAAAGAAGAGAGAGAGAGGGAGGGAGAGAGAGAAAGAGAGAGGGAGGGTGGGAGAGAGGGAGGGAAAGAGAGAGGGAGGGTGGGAGAGAAAGAAAGAAAGAGGGAGGGAGAGAAAGAGAGAAAGAAAAAGAAGAGAGAGAGAGGGAGGGAGAGAGAGAAAGAGAGAGGGAGGGTGGGAGAGAGGGAGGGAGGGTAAGAGAGAAAGAAAGAGGGAGGGAGGCAGAGAAAGAAAAAGAAGAAAGAGAGAGGGAGGGAGAGAAAGAGAGAGGGATGGTGGGGGAGAGAGAGAGAGACCGGGGTCAGAGATTGGGGGAAAGAGAGAGACTGAAGGAAAGAGAGAGAAAGAAAGAAAGAAAGAAAGAAAGAAAGAAAGAAAGAAAGAAGGGACGGGGGAAAGGAGAGTGGATAGAGAACTCGGTGGTTCAGGCCATGAAACAAGTGGGTCCTCAACAGACAGAGGCGCTGAGTCTCTGTTGACAGTGCAGTCAGTCTTATGTTATCAACCGGATCTGAATGGGCAGAACTGGGTCACAGGGAGGTTTCCCCACTCAGTTCCTGTTAACCTTGTGAACAAGAGCCTGACGGGGAGATGCCCGGCCTGACAACAAGGAGAAAGCGTTATTGCACCCTCAGTCTGACTCACTTTGCATTCTCCCCTCTCAGTCAGAAGGTTGGGGGTTCAAGCTCCACATCGGACTTGGAATCACATAGTCTAAGCTGACACTTCATTGCGTGGCTGGAGGTGTATTGCACTGTTTGAGGTGCCGTCCTTTGGATCAGACGTTAAACCGAGGTCCCATCTACATCCACCTAAACAGACTGAGGTCTGTTTAAGTGGATGTAGAAGATCTCATGGCACAGTTCCAAAAGAGAAGGGATGTTCTCCCAGTGTCCTTGCCGATGATTCCCTGAATAAAATTGGTCACTCCCTCCATGGCTGTTTGTGGTACATTGCTGTACGTGGCTGCCACGTTTTGCCCCCAAAACACACAGTCACTCCACTTTACAGTGTATCCTTTCAGATGTCTTGATGATGTGATAAGACGCTATGTCAAATGCAAGGATTATTATTATTGAGGTTCCAGAGCCATTGGCTCTTGCCGACCCGCACTCAAATTCACTGGAATTGTGTAAGCAAAGTGTGTCCCTACGGGGACAGAGTGAGTATTCAATTCCAGATATGAAAAATGTCCATGTTTTGGTGACATACATAAAAGTGCAGTGATGGGTCGTTCAAAGAATACATTGAATACATGACTGCAATGATGCTCAAATGTAATTTGGTAAAACCATAAGATGTGCACCTGTTCGTAATGTATAAATCAACCCAACATACTTTTCTGAGGACTACGATACATTTTTGTGTCTCTGATAACACCATTTTTTGTAAGGGTTTGATACTTATTGGGGTGACTTAAAGCTTACTTTACTCTCACTGCCTTCCATTGACAGTGGGACTGAAATTAGAGAATGAAATAAAAATTTATTTTTGCGAGCGGTGGAAATAAAATGTTTTTACTATACTGAAGTGCGCTTAATGTACATTTTTATATTCTTTTTCTGAAAGGTCTTAGAAAGATGCAGAGCAGTCTGAAAAAAGTGGATTGCATTATCGAAGTTCATGATGCCAGGATATCCTTTTGTTATCGTACTGTTTTCAACAGTGTTTTCCTGAAAACACCTCGAACATGCGTACTGCAATTTGAACTGATATGATTTACTTAAAAGTAAACTGCAGTCCTGAAACATTTAGTTGGTTCACACAAATACACTGGTTAATACACTGGCAAATACATTGCTTGTGCAAATTGGCTGCTGTGTTCGCCTGTGAGGCACTTTTACAACATGTTAATGCGCCATATCAAAATACAAGGATTATTATTTATAGATATATATCTGCTTTAAATGTAAAGTGCTTTAATTGGTAGTGCAATACTTTCACAGTTGTAAATTATTATATTATATATACACAAGCCCTTGACTTTTAACAACACATTCCTCTGTCCGGCCGTAACCCTTTGTTTCAAGCAAGCTTGGCCATCAAACCACATCTTCTTGTACTGAACAAGATGGATTTAGCTGATCTTACAAATAAACGGGTAAGAACTTTTATCAAGAGCAACCTCAGCTTGTGAGTTGAATCACCCATGTGTAACCAAAGGAATCCCAACATCCAGCTACTGCTGTAATATACTATTAGCCAGTATAATACAATTTACATGTATACAGTGCCTCTCACATCAGGAAGACGTTGCTAAGCACTTGACGTTGGTGGCTGGGTACCCAAGCTGGGAGTGGGAGATGAAAGGATGGCGAGGGGAAAGATGACCAAAAGCGCAGTCAAGGAAATATAATTAAAAGAAGGTGCACGTGCTGGTGCTTCTGAGTGGTATAATGCAGATTTGCCGTGATATGCTGCATGCAGGGAATTTTCTGTTCTTAATCATGAAGAGATGCTGAATGGAGGCAATCATTGCAAAGGCCAGAAAGGTATTGTTATAGAATGGCTGTTAATTCAATCTCTCAGCTCTACAAAGTGCCCAGTCTGAGGGGAAAGTGAAAGGAAATGTGGTAGGCCGATTGTCAATGTTACCACAAGCAGATGATTTCCTATTTCTTTCTTGCCCAGAGAATCCTGAGTGAGTTGGAACAACAAGACATTCAAAATGTTCTCTTCGCTGACTGCCGGAGGCAAAGCGATGAATATGTGAAGAAAGTAAGTTCTTGTCATGTAGTTGAACTGGGTTTAAAGGTACATTTCTCTTAAAGCTAGTATTTCATATTCCACATGTTTGTGAGCCGTGGGACACAGACCTATGGGTCAGAATGATATGTTGGAAGGTGTCTCGTATTTCGTTCTAAAAACAAATATAAGCTTCCCAGCACCTCAGACTATTAAACAAGGACCTGTAGCAGTGATCTGACCCCAATATTACTCTGGTGCCAATCAATGATTTAAAAACTCAAGAGCAGAGTTCCCATAGATTTTCCAATTGCTGCAAAGGGTTCTCATTTACGTGACTCACGATTTATTATTAAGAAATACCATTAAGAAATACCACAGGTTAATAATCAGTTTTGTGTGAAATGATTTTCCCTGAGATTTGTGTTTTACTCACCAATCGGGCCTTCAGCCTCTCTGTTCCCACCCGTTGGAACTCTATCCAACAATCCCTTTGCCTCGCAGTCTCCCTTGCCTCCTTCAAGTCCCATCGTATGACCTTCCCCTTCGACTGCGCCTTCGGTCACCCTCCTACCCCCACCCTCCCTGACCTCCACCCTCCTTATCCCAGCCCCCAGCTTGGGTACAAACCCTTGACTGTCCAGTACCTTGGGACATTCTCCCGATATGAAAGGCACTATACAAATGTAATTTGTGCTTTTTTGGCAGATAGTTCCTACTGTTTTGGAGCTGATAGAGAAAAGTGATCGGTATCACAGGTCGGAGGTGAGAAAGCTAAGATGCTGCTAGCATCAAAGTAAAATTCTGACGGATGAACGGATACTGTGCTAAATTGATGCGCTTCAGATGCAACAACAACAACAACAAGATTCCATTTATAAAGCGCCTTTCACGTCAGGAGGACGTCCCAAGGCGCTGCACAGTTGGGTCATGACCCGAGCAGGGGGGAATTGGTCAGGGTGAGGGGAGGGAAGGGAGGGAGGGAGCGAGGAGGGGGGAAATGGTCAGGGTGAGGGGAGGGAAGGGAAATTTAAGATGCATTAAATCGATAGACAATTTACAATAGAACAATTACAAAATCAACCTGCACTGACAGTGGGATGTGAGCTTGTGTTTATTATGAACACATCTGGAACACACATTCTTGGTTATTTGTAGGTAGAGCTCTGATGTATTTGAAGGCTGGGGTGACACTGAACATTTTCCTTCATTGTTTTTCCGTAGAACTGGGAGTTCTGCTTAATGGTGATCGGAGTGCCAAATGTGGGCAAGTCATCTCTCATTAATGCCATGCGAAGGATGTATCTAAAGAAAGGTGTGGTATATGTGTTTCATCATTGTGCAGTTGCAATTCACTTGAATTTGTGAGGGACTCACCATTAACAATAGGAAGCACTTGTGTTTTTATAGCACTTTATAATCGTCTCAAAGCACTTGACAGTAAATATAGTCAAGCGTAGAGACTTACTTTGTAGGGTTTGTTGGCCAGAGCAGTACCGTAGGATGTTTAACACACACAGGCATTTGGGGCTTCGGTTTAACATCTCATCCGAAAGGTGCCAGATCTGACAATGCAGTGCTTACTCTCCCCATTACTACACTTGAGTGTTAAATCGCTTTGTTAAACCTTTATTAATCTCTGTAGATAGAAGCACCAGCCATTCCTTGACACCCATCTCAATCGCTGAAATGAGGAACTCACTGGGTGACATTGATAGCAGGAACCTGCACTACATTGCAATTCTGCACTTTGTGATAAGCAAGTGGGTGCTCTGTGTGCTGGGCGGTTCGGTGTCATGCGTCTGTCTCTCTTGGTTTTCTTTCAGGGAAAGCCTCCCGGGTTGGTGGGGAACCAGGCATTACCAGAGCTGTCTTGACAAAGATTCAGGTAAATCTAAATTCAACGTCTACATGATTCAGCAAATCTCATTGCCAACAAGACCATCAAGGGACCTGATAGCACATTTTCAAATGCACCTATATATTTGTTAGTAATTTTAAAATGGAAATTTGTTGATAACTTCATAGGAAATGTTTGGTACATCCAGCTTCTAACACTGACTAAGCTAGCTTCCAGCACTAAAATATGTCTTCCTTCCGGCTGGTCAGGTCACCACTGATGTCACTTCCCATGCACTGCACGTAGGAAGTAGATGTGATGTCACGTTTCCCCTAGGAAGTGTGGGAGATGCACTGCCTAATGATGACCTTGAATTCAGCCACACTTTGTTTCAACACGAGGGGAGGGGGCTGTGTTTATGGATCAAGACCATCACACAAAAATAGGGGTTGCCCAGTATTGACTTTTCCTGGAGTGGGGAAATTGGAAGTGTAACATTTAGGTCAAAGATGCCATATTCTTTCTGCTTTGATAAAGTAAAAACAGTTGTGTAACACATCAGAGCTGGAGCCCAGTTGTCACAGGAGCATTAATATCAAAGGAGGCCTCCAGTGGCAGTAAGCGACATGCATTTGCTTGGCACGTAGTGCAGTATTTTCACCAGCTCTGTCTTTAGATGGTTTCCTTTTGCTCCATTTCTTCATTCTTCTTCCCAAACCTAGTTATGAAGTTATTTTCTGGCTAGTATGAATTATCTTGTGTGATGGTAACTGATTATCATGAAGATTTATATCAGTCAATGGATCTTTCATTCTTGGATAATGCCTGTTATCAAATTTTTATGTGGTTTGATTTTTTTTTAATGGCTGTGCTATTAATAGTTAATTTCGTCTCAACTTCATATACTCAACCTGAATGCACATGTAAATGGTTGCTTGGCTTGGAACTCAAAATTGGGGCAGGCTAGCTGGCAGAATCTAGGACAAGTACTTTCTGTCTCCTTTTCTTGTCCTCCAGTGAATTCACAACAGGTATTGATGGATGGTGTGTGTTTCCGCAGGTCTGTGATCGACCCCTTATGTATTTATTAGATACACCTGGTGTCTTTTCGCCACACGTAGAAAATGTGGAAGTTGGCATGAAGCTGGCACTCTGTGGTAGGTTCAGCACCTGTAGTTTTGCATTTGTTTGCTGGTTAAGATTGCCTTGTACACATAATAACAAACAGCCCAAACTTCAATAACTCCACAATGTGCCTCTTTGACCGCGCTTTCAGTTACCACTTACAGCAAAGCATTCGATTTTATACTAAATCTCTTCATTAAAATGTTTCTTTGAAGGTATTGTGCTTGAATCAGTTTTTCATTTTAACATTTTATTATCCTCCCAGGAACTATATTGGATCACTTGGTAGGAGAAGATGTAATTGCCGATTACCTGCTTTTTACCCTCAATAAACAACAGAAGTTTGAGTAAGAATTGTTTTACGATGCACTAGTTGATGACAGATACTATTGTAACAGTTCATATTCAAAAGCCAGTTAACATACTTATGCACACACGTTCTGATGGTAAATTAAGCAAGTTTCTGTATGTAAGTATGGCTCGTAATCTAGAGGTGGCCCTGGAGTTGTTTGATTGTTTTAGTGGGGTAACCTTCTGATCCTCTGAATGTGGTATGTAGTAAGAATAGGCTATTCAGCCCTTTGCCTGTTCCGCCATTCTATTAGATCATGGCTGATCTGGACCTCAACTCCATTTACCTCAATTTTACTTCATAAATTCTAGTGTTTTGGAGTTCGGAGACCTGAGAATTAAACATTTCACTAATAGCCATGCATGTTAACAGTCTACCAAAGATGGTTCCATGTATTTGCCAATTGAGTAACACTGGCTTTATTTCCAATGTATAGTTGAGATCCATACCGCATAGTTTGATTCTCATTTCTTTCAGTTATGTGGAGCGGTACCAGCTAGGAGAGCCCTGCGATGATATCCAGATGGTGCTTAAAAAAATTGCAGTAAATCTAGGCAAAACCCAGAAAATAAAAGCCCTGACCGGTGTTGGTAAGTGGACTGTGCTTTCTATGGCTTCCCCGATAATGGGGGAGTCCCAAACCAAATCTCGTGGTATATTACTATTAGAAATAGTATATTTGCTACGTAGGAGTATCAAGGAATATAGAGCAAAGGCAGTTGAGAAGTTACTTTTGAATAAGCACATTCTGCCCTTTTGAATAAGCACAAGACACATTATGAAGACTCATAGGATAAGTGGGCTGACCTGAAAACTCACCAACAAACAAGTTGCAAATTAATTAAAGACAGCACCACTAGTAACAAATTATAACTGCAAGTTTTAATCATGTTGGCAGTTTATACGAAGCATTCAAATCTATTAGCTAAAGAAGCGTGGAAAACTATGTGCGAACAGTACATTGCTCTGTTGGAGCTGGAGGCACTTTGAGTGTGATTATGTGATGTGGGTTTAGACTGTGTTTATAATTGTGAAGCCTCTTCAGAGGAAAAATAGTTTCAGTAATTGGAATGTGATGTGATATTATCTCCGTGTAAGTGTGAAAAACATCAAACGGAAATGGATAAATTGAAACAATATCCCCTTCTTAGGTTATAATGGTGCAGCAACATGACTGTAATCTTCAAAGAGTTGCGAGCAACCCTTGTGATATATCCAGTCCTTGGTTTATTTTAAGCACTGCAGCTGTTTACTGACCTCAGGCAGTTTTAAATCAGGGAAGTATGAGCTTCAATTGTGTTTTATACAAATGAAGTCGGAAATCGCTTTGATATCCTGTGCATCAGGGCACCAGCATGCTATAAGAATTCTGAGCACAAATTCAGAGCATTCGGTGGATCTGGGATCATCTGAATATGCAGCAACTGAAGGCAAGAGCCTTTACACAAGCCTCAAATGTTACTGATCCACTGGGTGCCTCAATGATTTTAACAGCCCCAGCTTTAATCTTAAGACCTTGATTCAAAGATTCCCAGTATAGCACCCAAACCATTCATGCAATATTAAAAGGGAGGATTATAAACGCATTTCAAATAATCCTTGTTAACTATAATCCAAATGTGATTAAAACATTGAAATGGTTAGCAGAATGCTGTATTCATCCCATTCATGCTCTATTTAAACAGGGCTTTGTGTAGTTTTCACCTTTTTTTGCCTACAAGCGGTGTTCCACAGTTCTTTAATGATTTTGGCTTCACATAGTTTGTGAGACCAATATTGTGTCTTATCACTATTAAAATATGTGTTTCAATTGAGATAATGTTAACATTCTGCTCTGCAATGTGATAAATCAGTGCAAAAAACATCAGCCTTTATTGCACTAAATACCAGAGTAAAATTCTAATTCACTGGATTGAAGTTAGGCCAGTGACTGAAAATGTTGCATTTTTTTCAGGGGATGTGAAAGTTCTTATACCAAACTACACTGCAGCTGCGTATGACTTCATCAGAGCCTTCAGGAAAGGGGAGCTGGGAAAGGTTATGCTGGACTGATACATACCTTAAAAGCTTGGAGAGCTGTCAACCTTACAAAAGGCTTCAGATAGATAACTTGTGGTACAAGTGCAGAAAGGGTCTGTGTCACGTACATTTGAACATGGTGAATACTGGTAAATTAAGCACCCTTGCCTCCAGGCTTCCGAATCACATTCTCGAGTTACAGCAATATTACATAAGATTGTTTCAAAAAGCTGTCGAGTTTGTAAACGTAGCACATGATGTTGTTACACATGTCAATGAGATGTCTGAAAAATAACCCAATTTGTCTTTCTTAATAAACCATATTGGTTGAGAGAGTTTTGCGATTACGATTTTAAAAAAAAGTATATTTTCATTTGAACAGTACATGTTATTATTAGCTTGGAGGAATCTCTGAATTATGAGCATGTGAGGGGCTGAATTGCCATTTGTTCTTGTCTATCATCAACCCCATTTATTGGCATTCTAGGTTTATATAGGGTGGCCAAAATGTTGTGATGCCATTACAATGTCTAATAAGTCTTAAAGAATTGATGAAGAAATAAAGTAATTATTATTAAAATAAATAGTATCACGACTTTTTGGTCACTCTATTTTTGGTAGCTCGATAATTTAGCTGTGTTGCAATTAGCACCAAAATACTAAATAAAAGTTTTATTAAAGTAGCAGAAAATAACAAATACAATACAAAAAATTAAGCTAATTCACATCCTTTGCAACAATTTTTAATGGAAAAAGTTTCATTATTTAATTCATTATTTAAGAAGAGTTGATTTCTTGTTTTACTTTGTTTTTTACAAAATAAACTCACCAAAAATGAGTAGCTAATTGCTGGGAGTGTGAATGGGTGAGAAATTCCTTCTACTGAAAAGTGAAGCGACTTTGCCAATAAACACTCGTGACTGGTTTGCTGTTATGAAAAATGATTAAATTAAAAGAAAGACAAATTTATCAGACAGTATATACTGTCATCATTAAAGGTCCTGATGTGAAAGGTGCTATACCAATGTAATTTGCTGTTGTTGTATTTCTATTTCCATAATCTGCAGCTGCAGTGTGCGTTCAGTGTGATAAATTATTATTTTTGTTCTTCCATCATACAGAAATATTTCTTTAAGTGCACTTTGATGGAGATTAGGCTTCATGTTCCTGGTTAACCCTTGCACCATCTAGCTGTTCAAAGTCTGCTTGTACAATTGAGTATCATTGCTGCACGGAGTTCAGTCACTTTTTCAAAATAAATGCACAAATGCCAGTGACAAATTGAGAATAATATCAGAAGTAAATCAGTGTTTCGTTCACACAGAATGCAAATCGGCCCATTGTGCTGGCTCTTTTAAGAGCAGTTTTATCCATCCGTTTACCTACCCTTTCCCCATACCCCGATATCTGTATATGTTAAAGTGTAAATCTGTATTTCCTGTTACTCTTAACAGAAAGCCCAGGAGACTTTTTTTTCATAAAAATGACAAATCTCCAGCGCAGTTGATCAAAGCAGATCACTGGAGTTGTTGTTATCAGTGCACCAGCTCTTTTTGAAAAACATTTTAGTTCAAATTTACAGAATTTTTTTTAATATCTACTTTATGTGGGGCAAGCTGATAGATGTTTGGCTCCCGCTTTACTAGTTGAAGATAAGTGATAGATAACTCAAAAAGAGTTACAAAAATTTCACAACTTGCAGGTAATATAGAACCATTAAAGGGGCAAATGGCTGACATTCAGAAATATACCCTTAGAGTTAATGTCTCCCTCATACAATGCAGGTCCTACATCACCAGATTGACGTTGTATCCAATAACTACAGAAAATAGTCGAGGCTGATTTCTGCTGCAGTGAAACTTTCTATTAATAATGTACTAGCCCATTTACCAGGAGCACTTAAAGGAGGTTGAAACGAACACTCCTCATCCACTGTTGTTATTACTAAATATTGTGTACAAATCACATATTAACCCAAGAACGATTTTATTTTCATTCAAATGTACTTCATGCATTCAAAATATGTCCAGATGAAATAAAGTGTGATTAAACAAAGTACCATACAGCATAACACAATAAAATGCACTTCAACACTCCAGATACATCATTTCTTTATGTGCCGTGTTATTTTAAAATTTTAGTAACTCGTTGATGAAATGCTATTTTATACTATATAAATGTATTGATATATATATCTCTATTGAACACAAAAGCACCGTCTAAACCTATTTCATCCACAAAACCTCTTGTACATTTTTGCTTTCAAGAGACTGCTGTAGTAAAATACATGCAATATTTACATGATAGCTCTGTACATGTAGAGTCGAGACAGGCTGCAGTGAAGACATACAGACAGCACTTTGTTCAGTTTGCTCATAATTCACGTGAAATAATTTGTTACAAAATGCTAAAAGTTCAATTCTATTTTCGAGAACAGGTGCAACAACAACAAATTACATTTAAAAGAGTAAAGTGCAAAGTACCCTTTGCACCTGCCTGATTTAATTGTTTGAATTAGCCATAATAAAAGGCATTGCCTATGGTTTGAAGTGGCTATTGATGCAGGCAGGAACCACCAGAATCTATCAGCAATCCAAGTCTTCAGTGAGTGCAACTGAGATTGTAACAGAATTACTTGGAGCAAGCAGTGCTTTTTAAGTGCAAGTTTTTTTGTTGCATCTAACCTAGCTAGTGCTATACTGTGCTTCAATTTTTTTGGAGGAAATGTCCTGAAATACAATCTATATTATCTATGTTTATTCAGTGCTGCAAGCCAATGTCTTATAATAACAATCATCCTTGTGTTTAATGTAGTGCATTTCATGTTGGGTGGACGGCAGCGCTCCAAGACCCTAACCCGTGTGAAAGGGGTTATATAAATGCAAGTTGTTGTCTCACAATGAATCATGGGTTATCCTGCGAAGTGTCTGTGTATTTTGTAAGTGGAACAACATTTATTTGGGTGAAAGTGATATTAAATTCGATCAACAAGGTTATCAGATTGAGGGAAGTTTCAGAAATGGAAACATTTCAGAGTAAGCACGGAGCACACGGATGACATGCTGAAAGAATACCACAGGGCTCCGGTGATAGAGGACCAGATGCTGTACCTATAGCCTCCTTCAGACGTGCCATTCGTGCCAGGGGGATGGTACTGACTAATGTAACCCATTGAGCTGCCCCAGCTAAGCCTTCCAGGTACAAACCGGCTTGCTGCAGCTCGAGGCCTATGTCGGGACCCTGTGACAATTCGCCGAGGGTTCGAGTAAGATCTACGGCTGGAATATTTTGCGTGTGTGCCCCCCCGAAAGCGGGAGGCCCGGGACGATCCGCGAGCTGCGCCTCGGGCCCCTCCTCTCCCTCCCTTGGTGGTGACATTTTCACAGAAGATCGCGACCAACAGGATGAGGGTCCAGCATGTCGCTGCAGTTCTGTTCATGGTGAAGAAGCCAACAATCTGGGGAGAGATTCACAATGATCGGCGATTCGGAATTACTGCCCAATGTCTGCACTAAAATAAACCCAGAGGATTTTGCACGGGAGATTGTAGCGTAAAAGTCATGTGGTAGAATTTATAACATTACCTTTTCCACCCCAAAATTTTTCCTTTTCTGCTCAAAGTTCTTGCTGTCATGTGGTCACGTGGGTCCTGGCAGCTCTCGTCCAAAGTGTCCACTCTCCCCGTGAGGACCTAGGCATTGAGAGTTTGTTAGTAAACTACTATATTAGGAAGGTATTGTAGCTGATTCAAAACCCATTTTACAGTAAGCGTCACTGGATAGCAATGAGAGCAGTAGTCTGGTTCTGCTATTTCTAACTGAGGGTGGGGGGAAGGTAAGCAGGGTCTCCTTGGAGGTGAGCTGGCTCCAAGTTTACGTGATTGGCAATGGAATGTCAGAATCAAATCCACTCTCGATGATAGGCTCGGTAGTCCAGTTCCTGAGCCGGGCGGGTTCGCAGTACTCCAGGGCACTGCTGGTGACAGCATAGCTCATTGGGGGAACTTGGGGCAGAGGAGCAGACTGATCACTAGGAGCAGGAATTCTTTCCACTTAGCTCCCTGAAGGCAAAGGCCTGACAGGTAAGCTGGACGAGCAGTGGGAAAGCTTGCCAGATAGTGCTCTCAATGGCAAGCTATGAGGTTTTAGCCAGTTAAACTCCAGCAGTATTCCGATGCACACTGGCTCTAGCAAGTCTGCACTGGAGGTAGCTGAGAAGGGTGCAACCCCTTCAGGGACAGAGTGCACATTCCAGACACACAGAAATGTTTGGTTTGGATACTCATTAAGCATGATCATAGGTTTCCATATGTGTCAGACATGTAGCTGACGGAAAAGATTTGATTCTCTCCCCAGCCTGGGGACAGTGAAGTCAATGGAAGCATTTCTAAGAAACCTGTCAGTTTTAATTGTAGAATCTCCTACTTGTTTCAAAGCATGAGACAGTATATTATGAACCACTGAAGAATTAAAGTATTAGCACTTGAGGACTGAGGTAGAAATTGGGCAGAATGCATAGTACAAGCGAACGGTTGGAATTGTGAATGTCATGTCCAATTCTGCTTCTGGCTTTTTATGAGATCATCTCTTAAGCTGACAACTCTATGTCTAAGTCAACACAATGCAAATGCTTGCTGCATGGTTGAGTTAGGTTAGTGGGTTGCCAAGGGTTGTCTATGTGAGCAATACACAAAATTGATTATTGTATTATCTTTGAAACTGGATGGAGGGTGACACATATTTCATTGTTATCCCTCAAGGTTATGAACAGCCTTCCAAAGCAAAATGATTTTAGATAGCTCCAAAAGATCCAAAGGAAACATGAATTATAATTGGGATTGTGAATTACTCGATTGGTATTTGCTGTTCTCTATACTTCTACTGTTATTGTAGAGGGGATTTTTATTTTTATTTACCACATAGGTTCTCACTTGCAGAATCATTGTGACACAGATTATTCTACCCTCAACGCAAAATCATTTGATGCCTTCTCATGACTGAAACACAAAGTGAAAATAATTAAAAACAGCCAAAAATGCGAGACAAAGAAAGTAGGACACATTCAAGGGAATTCTTAGACAGACTGACGAGACATCAACTACGTTTAGCAATGTCAAAGAAATAGATAAGTGGACTTTAGACAAGGACAATGGGTTATCTTAGATGAAGAGAATGTTGCACATCTATCTGAAGCATCAATCATATGTTGTGCAGTAGATTTTTTGTTCTAGTTCTCAACTTGATCACTAGAAGCACAGCATAATTCATCATGTTGCTTTTCTGCTATCCGTGGCTTCCTGCTTTTCTTCCCCCAATTTATTCACAACAGAATCCACATTTGTATGAATGCAATGTGAATTTATTTCAAAATATGGCATCTTTACCATTCAGCAAGTGAGGACGGAAGGAATGGAGACTAAAGCTAACTAAAAACTATGTTTCAAGCTGAAAATATTTGTTTCGGAAAAAAATAAAGACTATTTCATGCATCAAAATGGCTTGGAACTGTTTTGCTGTTCTCATTAAAGAGCCAGCTGTTTTCAACTCATAGACTGGGACAAGATCAATGGCTGAACCTGGCAGTGCAAATGTCTATGCTCATGTGTTCATACCCAACTATCTATGAAGCAGTCTTAACATTGAACATTAGTTTGGGAATAATGTAAACAATACACAATGGGATGGATACAAACAATTGCTACTTCTTTAAAGTTCTTTCATTGGTTTAATTGCTGAACTCTCCTGATTTAGCACTTCATGTAGTCTTGCCAAAAACAATTAAAATGTGGGCAACTTGACATCTGAACTCTGTCTCTTTCAGAACATATTAAGGTATTCCAGGTGATGGGCAACAAGATAAATGAATGGCTCAGATGTTCATCTGAACTGGCTGCTCCTCAACTAAGAGAGTGGAAGAGTAAGTTACTGTATAGCAACAGTACAAGCGTGTTCACTACCTGCCTGTATGTGGGTGGGTTAAATTAATCTTTTATTAAATTAGCAGTGGCAGATGAGTAACACCAATCCTCAAAGCAGCGAATGCAAATTGCATTATTGGGGGCTGAGCTCAACTGTGTACTGGAGATGAATTAACATCTGCCATGATCCAGTCATTGCCCTGGATATTTTAGGAGCACTGTTGAAGCACATAAAATAAACACAAAAATGTACAGTGGACAGTCACTGGTTGTATAAATAGTGTTGCCAGTGGGTTGTACAATACCGTAGTAAAAAAGCATAACACTAGTGTAATATCTGTCACACAGGTATTGGGTACTGATCCTATACATTGGTAATCCTTAATACATTCACAGTGGCATATCAGTACGTGCACAATCACATCTGTCAGTGCATTCATGTGTATACTACTGTAACACATACAATGCGTACAGTTCATGGATATCAGTAACGTAAGATATATTTTTCCACAACCAGTGATCCCATGTTTCACCAGTATCCTGTTATTCAGTGTGAATGCTATATTCAGCTCTTGCCTCGCCTTCTTAATTGCAATTTTCATTTCAATCTCGAACACACAGCCACGGTAGTCATCTCTGTTTGCCCTTTTTTTCCCTAATGCTGTGATATTACATGTTATTATCAGCCTGTTGCTGAACGCAATGCTGTTTTATCTGCTGATCTTTGGGGCTTTCGTTTTGAATTTACTGTTTGAGGAATTAAAGGGAGTGTTTTTCTCCTACTGTAATTCATGCACTTTACAAAGAAAAATAAAAGATATCAGACGTACCTTTGAGCATCCATCCCTTGCTGTTGGCACTTTACATGCTGGAAATGAAGGATTGCTCTCACCTCTTGTTATGTGTTAGCAGAGAGGCTTTCAGTGGTTTTCACTGCCCCAATCCAACGCTGTGTGTATGGCGGTGCTTGTGCAGTGATGACTGCTGATGCTGTCTCTGCCTCTCAATCGCCTCCTTATAGATCTCTATTCCAGTTACATGCTCTGCGTTGCGTACATTGGGGAAGAAATAAAACGTTCCCTGAACCTCACCGGAGAAATAATTTTGAAATCAGACAATAATAAACTGGAAACTGACACACAAGAACAAAGGGAATCGGTGGAGAGAAGGGCAACTGTGGGTGGAACACATTTTTTTAAAAAAAGGTAGGAGGAAGCAAGGGTTGGGTTGTGACTGAGGCAAATGGGAATGCCCACTGTAAATTTGCAACATACGTGAATATTTTAACAGACCACTCCTGTCTCTCTTTGCTTTATTGTTATGGATGTGGGAAACAGGGCTTCCTTCCCACACTGGGTATTTTTCTACCAATCTATTGCATCGACAACAATTCGCATCTATATCACAATAATCCTTGCATTTGATACAGCGCTTTTCACGTCTTCTCAACGTCTCAAAGCGCTTCGCAGAATATGCTGTAAAGTGAATTGATCGTGTATTTGTGGGCGAAACGCCCACATAGCGCCTTTTGTGTCGGCAAAGGCGCTTCATCCATGCTGTACTTGGCAACGAGAGGAGCAAGGAGGGAAATGCTACGATTTTCTCAGGGTAGTGTTTAGGCTGCAGTTGCATCCAATTTTGGGGAATCTGAAGGTATAAAAGGCACAGCCATGGAGAGGATATAATGATAATAATAATAATAATAATAATCCTTGCATTTTACTATAGCGCCTTTCACATCTTCGAGACGTCTCAAAGCGCTTCACAGAATATACTGTAAAGTGAGTTGACTATATTTGTGGCTGAAACGCGGTAGCCAATAGTGAAGGAATTATTATTCCTAGGAAAAACGATCCGCCAATCGACTAACAACTGGGTTCCTATTTACTGCTAGGTAAACAGAGGAATGGTGGAGTGGTGGATATGGCGGAGATTTGCAAGGATAATACCAACGACAACAACTTGCATTTATATAGTACCCCTCACGCAGGGTAGCGTCCTGGAGCGCTTGACAGTGGCAGAGCCCGATGCCGAGCCGGGTGGAGGTAACAATAATAAAAATACCAGGGATAAGCGTGCACAGCAATCCGGAGAGACTTGATGAACCAGGACTGTTTTCGTTGGATAAGTGGTATAAATTGAGGACGTCCACCAGAGGTTAAAAAAAAACCTTAAAATATTTTACTCGTGGAGTGCCTTTACCCCCAAATGCAGCCTAATTCCGCGTTTCTCCCCCAAAATATACAGTCGATTCACTTTACAGCATATTCCGCGAAGCGCTTTGAGAACGTCTCGGCGACGTGGTAAGGTGTCACGTTACATCGTGACATCGGACGCAAAGCTTCATTAATCAGCGCCCGGGGACGTCCTCTCGAACGTGAAAGGCGCTCTGCAAACGTAACGTCGTTGCCGTGAACGAATTAATACCGAGAACCGGTGCGAACCGTGCGTGTCTCGCGGGGAAATCTGAAATGAAGACGGGGTGGGTGGGGGCGGGGGGGAGAAATATTAGAAAATTGCAGAGTGGGGGGAGGGGGGGGGGAGAGGTATTTTTTGTTGTTGTTGTTGTTTGTTTGTTTGGCGTTAATTATACCCAAGTGCCAAAGAGAGGAAACAAATGGTAGGAGGTGGAGGGAGAGGAGGAGGAGGAGGTGGAGCAGAGAGTGAGATTGGCAGCTGAGACCTCTCGCGAGGGCGCTGTGCAGTATTTGTTGCTGAGTGTCCGGGACAGACAGACAGACACAGACAAATAAATAAATAGCAGCGATGTCCTCTCGGTGCAGAAGCGCAATCCGTTTACTGCAGATCCCCTCCGCGCTGCCGGTCCGACTCACTGCAGCCCGAGGGTACGGCGCAGGTAAGGCTGAGCTGCGGCTCCTCTCTCCCCCTCTCTCTGTGCCGAGGCCACGGCTCCCACTCACTCACTCACTCACTCACTCACTGCGCGCTCTCACGCTCCCGGGGCCCTGTTGCGTTTGCATTGGCTTTGACCCGCACCGAAGGCAATGACCTTCCAGCTCTGCTCTGCTCGCACTCTGCAGCCTTGAGTGTTATTTTGCTGCACCACTGGCAGCAGCTTTGCCTTATGTATATATATGTATATTTCTATATATATATATATATATATTATTTTTTTTGGAAGAGCATCTCAAAGGGATTCACTGAATAATAATGATCTTTGCATTTGATATAGCGCTTTTCACGTCGGGAGGACGTCCCAAAGCGCTTCACAGAATACACTGTAAAGTGAATTGACTGTATATTTGTGGGCGAACGCGGCAGCCAATTGCGCACAGCGATGTCCCGCAAACAGTCGTGGATTGAAAATGACCAATTTATTATTGTTTTTTGTTTTTTTGGAGGGATTATTATTAGGCTCTGTGTGGAGTAAGGAAACTTGCCCAAGGTTTCGCCCTGTGCCTGGAATTGAACTCAGGTCTCTCACTTGCAAAGCGAGTGCTCTAACCACTGAGCTACAGGACGTGGCTCAGGGAGAGTGAGGCAGGTGCACAGGCAAAGCAGTTTGGAGAAGGGAATCCTGGATCACGAGGGCGTAGCAGCTGGATGCCAACCCAGGGGTGGGAGAGTGGGGGCACAAGCAGGACACTGGAGCTGGGTGTGGGCTGGGGAAAACTACCGCAAACCTTTGAAAATCAGGATCTTGAAAATGATTCCCAGCGACACATCGGATTTAAGAGATTCCGAATATCTCGCCCCACCGGCTGTTTGTGGGACTTTGCTGTGCGCGGCCGGCGGCTGCGTTTGACCCACACAATGCACAGTCAATCCACTTTACAGTGTATCCCGTGAAGCGCTTTGAGCCGTCTCAATGATCCACTATGTCAAACGCAAGGATTATTTTGATCTAAATATCGTAAGAGGGGTATTGGAGAAAGGGTAGGTAAATGGGACTGAAAGGATTGCGCTTAAAAGAGCCAGCACAGATACGATGGGCCGCATGGGCTTCTTCTGTGCTGTAAATCTCTTTATGTGAGGGTGATGGGTGAGCAAGGCATGGGTGAGCGTTTCATGTGCTTAGTGTAAGCAGAGCTGGATGCCGATGATCGTGACAATGAGTCATATGCAATTCCAGATCTAATTAATCCATGTGCCAGGAGGAAAATTGGGCACAGTCGTGAGTTTTATCTAACGCTATTCCAGCCGGAAATCTATGAAAGCCCTCTGCATCTACTCTGGTCGGTGCAAAGGAACTGGAGTAATTTATAATCCAGTTTTCCTGCCTTCACTACACTTAGTCACAAAATTTAAAGTTTAAATGTAATTTAATTTTAAGTTAATATCAGCAAACGTATAGTTCACTCTTCATGACAATGTAGCCATGGCCTAAGGCAGGCTGCTCTCTCTCTCATCTCTTTCTATCGTGGTTCCATAGCGTAGTGGTCAGTGTGCTCGCCTGGCAAGCGAGAGGACCCGACTTGGATTCCCGGCCAGGGCAAAATCTTAGGGAAGTTTCCATACTCCAAAGGTCTCTGTTTACCCAGCAAGTAAGTAGGAACCTAGCTGTTAGTCGAATGGCAGATCGCTTTCCGAGGGTCGTAATCCCTCCAAAAAACAATCACTCAATCCATAACTGTTTGTAACATACTGATGTGCGCAATTGGCTGCTGCGTTTTGGCAACAAAATACACAGACAATCCATTTTGGATACAGTGAAGTCCTGTAGCTCAGTGGTTAGAGCACTTGCTTTGCAAGTGAGAGACCTGAGTTCAATTCCAGGCACAGGGCGAAACCTTGGGCAAGTTTCCTTACTCCACACACCTAATAATAATCCCTCCAAAAAAACAAAACAATAATAAATTGGTCATTTTCAATCTATGGCAGTTTGTGGGACATTGCTGTGCGCAATTGGCTGCCGCGTTCGCCCACAAATATACAGTCAATTCACTTTACAGTGTGTTCTGTGAAGCGCTTTGGGACGTCCTCCCGACGTGAAAAGCGCTATATCAAATGCAAGGATTATTATTATTATTATTTTACAATATATTCTGTGAAGCTCTTTGAGAAGTTTTAACGATGTTATAAGGCGTTATATCTAAAGCAAGGATTATTATTTAAAAATCCAAAGATGGCCTCTTGTTCTGAGGGGTTTAAACAGATTCCAAGCCTGCTGGGCGAGGCTGAACTGTATTGCAGACCCGTGAGTAATGTATAGCATATTCTCAACTAATGAAAACTGACTTTGAGATACATTCACATGATACTCCCCCTCTTAGCCCCCCAGGCTGGGGTAGCTTGATTTATAAATTTGCCTATTGTGGAAAATGCTTCATTTCTGTGTTAAGCACTGCAGGATTTCTTTAGCAGTGGAATGGATCAAAACGTTAACATGGTAGGAAAATAAAATGCAGATGGAAGTCTGTCAGTATCCTCAGCAGTTTGTAGTTTTACAAGAGAAAAATAATGACGGTAATCTCCAGTACATCTTTTACAAAAGGACGGTCAGACTGCTATGATCCTGATCTGACTCTTCTTTTGAAACAGAAGCACAGGACCCCATGGGCTCTTTTGCTGCACTTTAGGGACTATTTTTAAATGATCACAGTAGAAGGCATTCCATTTTGACTTGAATGCAAAACAGCTGGTTGATTCTGACTGTGCCCATCATCTAATGGTGATAGGAGTAAGAAGCAAAATGTTTTTTTTCCTTCCAATTCTACTAATCAATCTGCCTGCCCCCCAAATATAATTTAACAATACGGTCTATAATTCCTGCATTAGGTGGCAGTCTGGCTCAGTCGGTAACATTCTCGTTCTAAGTCAGTGGATTGTGGGTTCAAGCCGCATGTCTGAGCTGACACCAGTGTGTTTTTTTTGGGGTGGGGGGTTGGAAGTACTGCTAGTTGGAGATGCCGTCCTTTGGACAGGATATTATGCTGAGGTGCCGTCTGCCTCTTGGGTGAATGTTGAAACCATGACACTATTCGAAAAGAGAAGGGAGTTTCTCCCGGTGTCCTGGCTAACATTTCTCCAGATAAAATTGGTCATTTACTTCACGCCTTTTGTGGGATATTGCTATGCGCAAATTGGTTGTCATGTTTGCCTACAAATATACAGTCACTACACTTTACAGTAAAAACAGGTCCTGTGAAGCTTTTTGAGATTTTTCGCTGATGGGAGGTGGCGCTATATCAAATGTAAGGATTATTGTCTTATCATTTGTGGAATCCTGTAGCATATTGGTTAGAGCACTCGCCTCGCAAGCGAGAGGACCGGGGTTCGATTCGCAAGCAAGGTGAAATATTAGGCAAGTTTCCTTACGGCATACGCCTCTGTTTACCTATCAGTAACCCGGTTGATTGGCGGATTGCTTTTTTGGGGGTAATAAAATAAATAACAATTTTGTTACTCCATACAGAGACGTGGAACACTGCCGTGCGCAAATGGCTACTGGGTTTCGCCCCAAAAAATATACAGTCAATGCACTTTACAGTATCTTCTGTGAAGCATTTTGAGACGTCTCGAAGATCTAACTGTTTAGCCAGAATCAACCAGCTATGTTGCATTCTTTCCCCCAAACCTAATGGAAACTTTCCAGACTCTTTCTAAGCAGTGGCTCTGCGTTTCTTATGTTTGAGAGCTCTGTACCAACTTAATACAGTAGCCCATTAAGGTTGTTCATTCGCCCTCTCTTCACTAAGCATTAGACTTAGTGTTGGGTTTAAACATTAGACTGAGTGCTGGCTTTAAATAAAATAAATTGTATGTTAATCGGTAACTAGTCTGACCTGGTTTGCTTACATACCTGAATGTTGTGTTTAATGTTAACATGAGTGTGTATTTGCACAGCCAATCGAAAAGTTGCAGTAAAAAGAAAAATGTGGTAATGTGCTGCATGTTTTTTTTGCTTTCTTTGAAGGCAGCCAATATCAATACATAATAGTGGAAAAGAAAGGAGAGAAACAAAATGTGGGCCTTATCCAGCTGAATCGGCCCAAAGCGTTGAACGCACTGTGTGATTCGCTGATGAGAGAGCTGAACCAGGCTGTTGAAACCTTTGAAGACGATCCTGAGATAGGAGCCATGGTTCTCACTGGCAGTGAAAGAGCCTTTGCAGGTAGTTGTTCAGGCAATGTGATAACTGTTGATTTATTTTTGACACCTGTGAAACCCATCACCATGCTTAAGAATATACAAATTACTCACGTGCTCACGCAGTGAATACAGACGTGTAGACTAGCTGTCATTCCTCATCATAGTGTATATTGTGGAGTCCTGTAACTTATTGGTTGGAGCACTTGCCTCTCAAGCGATTCCCAGGCAGGGCAAAACCTTAGGAAAGTTTCCTTACTCCATATGCCTCTGTTTTCCTAGCAGTAAGTAGGAACCTGTTTGTTAGTCGATTGGAGGATTACTTTCCGGGGGTAATAATCCCTTTTTTTTTTAAAAAAAATTTGGTCAATCAAGCCACAACTGTGTGTGGGACACTGCTGTGTGCAATTGGCTGTGCGCCTAAAAAATATACAGTCAATTGACTTTACAGTATATTCTGTAAAACCCTTTGAGATGTCTCAACGATCTGATAAGTTGCTCTACCAAATGCAACGATTATTATTGCGCTGTTTGAAATTTCATACACTGGTGGGGCTCTGCTCTCATAATGTCTATTGATGTGCATTGTGTATCTGCATTGTGCATATGGGTGTGTTGTCCTGGTGCCTGAATCCCCACTCTATTTGTTGTATTACTAGCTGGAGCTGATATCAAGGAAATGCAGGACCGAACATTCCAGGAATGTTACAGAGGAAACTTCCTTTCTCATTGGAACAGGTTGACGTTGGCTAAAAAGCCAGTAATTGCTGCTGTGAACGGCTTTGCTGTAAGTAGCGACATATCGCTATGTGAATGTGTTGCACAAACATTTGCCGTTTAAACAGTCCACTTGCATGCTATTTAACAGTCGTAAAACTCCTTACGATTGGTATAGCGCCTTTCATGTTGGGAGAACGATTTCAAATACTTCACAGGATGTAGTGTAACGTATAGTGACTGTGTATTTTGTAGCCAAACACAGTAATGTCCCACTAACAGCCATGAAGTGAATGAGCAATTTTATTTTTGAACGTTATGTGTTGAAAGTCATTACATCCCGGTGTTGTGTGAACTCTTTATCCCTGTGTTCCCTATTGTTTATTTTTCAGTTCCACCTGCATTTCTTGCTTTTATATACTTACTCTGGTAACCAAGTCAGATCATCTTAATTAAATTTTACAGCAACCGACTTTGGAAATAAAACAAAATTGATGCATTACATTGTGCAATTACCCTAGAGGTAGTGCAGAGGAGAGCAATGAGGTTGATCCTCGGTGTTAGAGAAATGAGCTATCAGCAACGATTAAACAAGCTGCTGGGGCTCTTCATTCTTCAAAGAAGACGACTTAGAGGAGAACTCACAGATGTGTGTAAAAGTTTAAATGGGGTTGAGAAAGTAAACCCAGATCAATACTGCAGGATGCTGTAAGACAGTAGAACAAGAGGACACGGGTTTAGAGTTGGAAAGGGCAGATACCAAGTTTTTCTTCACTTAAATAGTAATCAATGACTGGAATACATTGCCAGGTGGTAGAAGCCAGGACACTGGACTCTTTTAGAAAGCAGCTTTGTGTTGTGATAAGGGCGTGGTAGGTGGGTATTTTGGAAGGATGAGATTGAATGGGGGCCAAATAACCTTTGTAAATCTGGTGATCTTGTACGTCAGGGTTTCAGTTTCTGATCACAGTCCAGTAGCTCCCCGCGGCCCCCCCCCCGCACACACCCACACATACACACAGTCATAGAGGAGGGTCTTGAGATGTGCCTTGAAGGAGGCAAGGGAGGGAGCAAAGTGAAGGGACTGTGGGATGGAGTTCCAAAGGGTAGGAGCCTGGTTTGGGAGAGAACATGAGCTGCAGAGTTCTGGATGATCTGCAGCTTGTGGAGGGAAGAGTTGGGAAAGGACTGTTGAGGGTCAAACAAAACGCCAAGGTTCTGGATTAGCTCAGTGAGGTGGAGTGTGCATCCGTGAATGGTGTTCCTGCCAGTGCCTGAGGTTTAGAGGCGCTGATGGGAGCCAATCAGGAGGGCCTCAGTCTTGTTGACGTTCAACTGTAGAAAGTTAGCTCTCATCCAGGACTTCATAGAATTATACAGCCCACAAGGAGGCCATTCGGCCCATCGTGTCTGTGCCGGCTCTTTGAAAAGAACTATCCAAATCAATTCCACTCCCACCCTCTCTCCCCATAGCTCTGCAAACTGTCCTCTTCAAATAATTATCTACTTTTCTCTTAAAAGTTGTTATCGAATCGGCTTCCACCTCCCTTTCAGACTTTGTTTGACGAGACTTTCTGTCAGACAGCAGTGGTCCTGGAGTTTTCTGCCCACACTCAACAATTCAGGTTCATGTGTGAAGAATAATCACTGGTCACCCCAGCGTAAACCTGTGCTTGGGTTGAGATGGGGTGGTGGTGGTCAGCGAGGAGGGGGCGGGTAGCGAGAAAGCAATACATCAACCCCTGAGAAAAGGTTGTAAAGGAGTTCCCATCGTGACTTTGACCTTTTGTGTGTTCTCCACAGCTCGGAGGAGGCTGTGAGTTGGCCATGATGTGTGACATCATCTACGCAGGAGAAAAGGCCCAGTTTGGACAGCCGGAGATCTTGCTGGGGACTATTCCGGGTAAACACACTTCGTTGATTATTACAGCATTGCCTTACACCGGTTCAGTTACACTACAGTGTAGTGAGATTAGACGACTGCTCCACAGCACTTGCTACCTGGCATTTTTGAGGCTTGTCCATAATCGTGTAGGACGTGTGCTGCCGCTCACTGATTAAGTGATCTGGGATACTACTGTGCATGAGGGGTACTATATAAATGCAAGATGTTGTTGATTCATAGCAAGAGTCCTAAAGTGGCCACATTGATGTATAAATTGAGGCTGATCAGCATCATTGCTGATATTATGACCAAAAACTACTCTTTTGAAAGAGGGTAACGGGGATTACAGGCCCTTAATTTAACATTGCATTTGACAATGCAGATTCCTTTAAACTTCTCCCACCCCCCCAGTACTGCATTGGAGTATCAGCAAAGACTTATGAGCTCAAGTCCCAACATGGCGCTTGAACACATGGAGTCCTGTAGCTCAGTGGTTAGAGCACTCGCCTTGCAAGCGAGACACCTGGGTTCAATTCAATGCAGGGCGAAACCTTGGGCAAGTTTCCTTACTCCACACACGTAATAATCCTCCAAAACAAAACAATAATAAATTGGTCATTTTCAATCCACGACTGTTTGTGGGACACTGCTGTGTGCAATTGGCTGCCGCGTTTCGCCCACAAATATATGGTCAATTCACTTTACAGTCTATTCTGTGAAGCGCATTGAGATGTCAAGAAGATGTGAAAAGCGCTATATCAAATGTAAGGATTATTATTATAACACATAACCATCTGACCCAGTGGCAAGAGTGTCACCAGGATGACACCAATAATTTTTGAATCAATAAGTTACTGAATAAATATCAAGTCCCCTGCATATCCTGGTCAGTGAGCTCCCTTCTGCACTATTCTAACCGTTCAACCAGCTGAGGGTTATAGAACGTTTGTGTTGAGAGTCTTGCATCAGTGCTGAGATTGTACTGTGAAGATTACGGATGGGTTGGCTGTGTACTTTACCTGAGCATATTACCACACACGAGAGATTGCCCAACTGGACTGGCCTAAAAACAAACTTTTGAACTCCTGCAGCGATGATCATTCCATTGGGGCTTCCTACATTCTGCCTCCCTCTTTTGAGTCAGTAGTTCAGCCATCGAAGGCCAGATTGAACGTCAGTGTACAGTTGCAACGTGCTGGTTATTCCTATTGTTAGAGACATAGATACGTGGTATTAGATGGGGGTATTAAGTGCTATGGTGAAATGACAGGGCATTAGGAATAAAAGATCAGCCAAGATCTAATAAATTGGTGGAACAGGCTCAATGTGCTGAATGGTCTTCTGTTCCTGTTCTTCCTGTGTTCCTAAGCTCAGGTCCAGATCAGTGAGAGAACATTGGATACAACTATGTGTCTTGTCTGATATATAGTAAGATTTTATTGTTTGCAGCTGTAATGATGTTCTTGCAAGTGGAGCTCATCCAATAATAATAATAATAATACTAATAATCCTTGCATTTGATATAGCGCTTTTCACGTCGGGAGGACGTCCCAAAGCGCTTCACAGAACACACTGTAAAGTGAATTGACTGTATATTTGTGGGCGAACGTGGCAGCCAATTGCGCACAGCAATGTCCCACAAACAGTCGTAGATTGAAAATGACCAATTTATTGTTGTTTTTGTTTTTTTGGAGAGATTATTATTAGGCGTGTGGAGTAAGGAAACTTGCCCAAGGTTTTGCCCTGCCTGGAATTGAACTCAGGTCTCTCACTTGCAAAGCGAGTGCTCTAACCACTGAGCTACAGGACTCCACAAATGCCAAACTGTGTTCAAGGAAAACATTTACTTGCATTTTTATGGAGCTTCTTTATGTCGAAACATCTCAAAAGTGCTTTGCAGTAATTGCAGTGAAGTGTTGTGATTGCCTTTTGCAATCACTACACACAGGAAGATGCCACAACTAGGAGAAACAGAAATTAATCTGAGGCCAGAACACCAGGAGAAATCGCCTTCTTTATTCCAATAGTGTAGTGGGATCTTTAGCATCCGTGTGAAGAACAAACAGACAGGACTCAGGTTTAACATTGCTTCCAAAGAGCAATATCTCTGACAGTGCAGCATTCCCCTAGATACTGAACTGGAATGTCAATCTAGACTGAGGTCAAGTGCCGATGTGGGGATGGAATCCATAACCTTCTTGCCCCAGGGGTGAGAATGCTGCCAAGGTGACTTTTCACTACGTTTTTTTTAACAACAAAAATCACAGTTGTTGTTTTAAAGTCCCAAACCAATGATGTGAAGCCACTGAGATCTGTACTATAATTGTTCAGGAAAACCATTTCACTGGGGACATGAATAATAAAGGCAATATCCTCCCAGTTAATTAAAACACAAGCCATCCCGATGAGGGAATGGATTAAGGCACGAGCGAGCGATTGATTTTTTGGTGACAAGGCACTGGTGTAAATACTAAAGCTTGCAATGGTTTCATTTGGTTCAGGGGCTGGTGGGACTCAACGGCTGACGAGAGCAGTGGGGAAGTCACTCGCCATGGAAATGGTTCTCACTGGAGATCGAATCTCAGCTCAAACAGCCAAAGAGGCAGGTATGGGTGTTGACTAGTTTCTACAGTTTCTGATCTGTTCTTACCTAACAAGTGCATGATTTCAGCTGAACCTTTCTCTGCTCAATAAATTAGTGCAACAGAGTAAAGATCATCCAATGGTAGTGTTTCTCCACTAAACTCATTTCAAAGATTAGATTGATTAGTAAAAAGGTACTTTTGCAACGTGCAGACTAGTGTTAATTAAAGGGTTTCAAAAGCCCCCAAATTTCTCTTGTGGCCCTTGAGTTAAACATGGAGAGTTGAGCGATGTTTTCTCAGGAGCAAACTAAAGAGTGATTTCTTTAAAATAATTATACAGGATATTCCTCCTTTCAGTTTCTTTTGAAGCACAACCAACCATGTGGCTGTCAATTAAAAATTGTTTTTTGTTGACTTGTTTCTAAGGCCTCGTCAGTAAAGTGTACCCAGTTTCTGAGGTGGTCGAAGAGGCCATCAAATGTGGAGAAAAAATAGCCAGCAACTCGAAGCTGATCACCGCAATTGCAAAGGAGGCAGTCAATGCTGGTAGGCAGAAAGCCCATAGCAAGTGCTTACTTGCAAGTATGTTTTATTGCATGTATCCCCTCCCACACAGGGGATATATATATATATAAGTGTGAATCAAAAGTCCTTACTCATAGATCTATATGAGATATTCAAACTGCTTGCCATGTAGACGTTTACGCATCAATCAACTCAGTAACAAAAAGTTTAATGAACACTGTGAAGGACACCTGTAATAATTGCACAATCTTTACGAATATTGTCTTTTAAAAAAAACACAATTAATAATTAAACTATGAGTAAGGACTTCTGATTCACCCTATATCTTATAATAATAGACAAAATGTCTGTGTGTGTGTGTGTGTCTGTTTTACTTGTTATTTGGATCCTTTTTCCACTTTTTGGTAAAATATGTTCACAGTGGCTATGGGGAATTTGGAGACTGTATTGCCTTACATTATTTTACCTGTGGGCAAGAGGGCTGTACAGGTTAACTGAATCATATGTTGGAAAAGAAGAACGGAAGAAAATTTCCTGGGTTATTTTTAGATTTTTTTGTCTGCTATTTATTTTCGGTTTTACTTATTCTGCGGCCATCAAATGAAAGTAACAGATGGACAGTTACACTAGTGAGAACTTCAGCCTTTTTAAATGTTACAGGATCCCAAATTCCACCTCCTGTGTTCAATATCAGGCAGACATGTGGAATCATTCTTAAATCATGTCTTTATTTGGAAGAAGGTTTTCTTTAGTTCTTAAAAAGAACTGGCTTCTGAACAAACCGAATTGAGCAATTTTCCACAATTCCTTAAAATTTGAAGACAAAATAGTCTTACAGGCCAAGACTAAGTGGAGTTTGGGGCCTACAGCGTTTTAACCATTGAAAAATGAACCTTCCTGTGGGCTCACTTACTCAGTGCTGTATGCACGTGCCTTTATTTCAGCTTTTGAGCTATCGTTAACAGAAGGAAATCGACTGGAGAAGAGATTGTTCCACATGACATTTGCCACTGTAAGTGAGCTTTGCTTTGACTACAACATCTTATGTTCATAAAATTCCTTGCATTTGATACAACACTAAATGCATCAATGCGTTTCACATGTACTGACTGTGTATTTATAGGTGAGCCCTTCGGGCTATTTGCCCACAGCCTTGAACTATAATCAGCCTTGAAGTCAATGACCCAATTTATAAGAAAATAATAATCTTTATATTTGATATAACATCTTTCACATCAAGAAGACACCTCAAAGTGCTTTACAGGATATATTGTAAAGTATAGAGACTGTCAGCAAATGCAGCAGCTAATTTTGTGCACAGTAATGTCCCACAAACAGCCATGAAGTGAATGACCCATTTTATCCAGAGGATTATTGGCTTGGGAGAAACTCCCTTGTCTTTTCCAGTTATGCCATGGCATATTATAGCGTCCAACCGAACAGATTAGTTAAACACTGAACCTTTGATAATGCAATGCTCCCCTATGTTCCGAGGCATTCAGCTGATGCCTTGACAAATGTTTTATTTCAGAAAGACCAAAAGGAAGGAATGACTGCATTCGTTGAGAAGAGGAAGGCAGTGTTCAGCAACCAGTGATTGGAAGGAGAAGTCTTTGCTAGCCTCACTGAAGAAACTGAAAACCGATCCTTTTTAAAAAAAAAAGGCAAAATAAAATCTTGCATCTTGGATGGTCAAACCATTGAAGACAATATCAAAACCACGATAAACAGCTTCCTGATTTCAAATAAAAACAATTGTATTTTTAATTTTTTTACCCATCTATTTACCCATTAGTTTTATTTTTACATTGGGTAGGGTAAGTGTTTAGCCCAGCAGAATAGAGCAGCTCAGCTGGTATGGTATGGTTTGATGAATGGTACCATCTACATCCTAACTTCTTATGAACCTTATGGCTCTACCTTCTCTCTCCTCATGATCTTAGTCTCTTAGATTGAGGACTTCTTCCACCATGACAGACCTTGCTAGACAGGCAACAGGAAGTTTGCCAGACAGTGCTCAGCCAATACAGTTTTAGCTGGTTAGACTCCAGCAATACCTCTGATGTATATTCTGAAGTTCTTAAGCCTTGGCTCTTGCCAACCTGCACTTAATACTCTCTTGAATTAGGTAAGAAGTGCGCATCCCTCCAGACAAAGAGTTTGCACTCCATTACAGACGTAGGGGAATTTTTTATGTGAAAGTGGCATATATGGACCTTAATCTGGTTTGGAAACTCTTAAACATAGTTATGGGTTTCTGCATATATCAGATTCTTGGCTGACCAAAAAAATAACATGAACAGATAGCTGGTTGCAAACCGCGCACAAGCTCAGCCAACTGGGAGACAAGGTTGACTGGAGTGAGTTACTATGGTCAACCTCACAGCCAAGCTCTGAGAAAGAATTGGGCTGTTTTCAATCTTACTGGGATAAACGTTTGAGTTATTGATAATTGTACCAGACTTGCTTTGTACAGCAATTCATTCCATACATAACCTGGTGAGCTCAGAACATACTGACTCTTTTTGGAATGCATGGTTAATAGTGTTTGTCTCCCAGCGCAATAGATAAGATGCTATAAATGGCACAGATTTAAAATCGAGAATTTGGGAAAAGTTAATAGGCTTGAAGTGCTGCACCCAGAAAGCTTTTATTAAAATTCCTCACAATCCAGAGCAGCATTCCCTTCAGGATTTTAAAATACCCTAAGAAGGAATTGGACTGATTTCAGCATTTTACTTAAAATGGGCAGCTTCCAGATCCATGTCACAATGAGGAAATATCCTCCCATCGGTCTTCTCAAACAATAACATGGAACACATCGTCTCAGAAAACTAGACGAGAAATCAGTTGGGGATTTTTTATGTGACAAATGGGAAGACTTGTTGGGAGAGTAATACATCTATTAAGGGCAGTGGCCAGGAAGTGGGTGTTGGGGAGATTTGTAGTATGTGAGCTGTGGAATGCTCTGTGGCACAGCAAGCTAGATGGGCTGAACGGCTGGCCTCTTGTTCCTAATTTTATGTGTTCCAGCCAGCCCACAATAGCTGATGTGTGAAGTGTGGTGTATTTATCCCAACCAGCAGCAGGGTGTTGCATTTACAAACCGCTCACATCACCACATTCCCTTTCTTGGTTGTAGTGTTGCATCCTGTGTCTGCTCCAGGTGTATTCACCTCCTATAGAAAGATGAAGGCGTTTCACAAACAACAACAGCTTGGATTTATATAGCACCCTCCACGCTGGACGGCGTCTCAGGACGCTTCACAGTAACGGATCCTGGGACCGAGCCAGGGGGGGGGGGGGGGGAAGGTGACCAAAGGTGAAAAGAAAGGTCTTCAGCAGAGACCTGAAAATGGGAAGGGAGTGAGTGAGACGAAGGGAGTGAGGAAGGCAGTTCCAGAGCCTCGGGACATAGTGGCTGAAGGCACAGCCACCGAGGGTGTTTCGGAGGACTCGGGACGAGGAGGAGGCCAGACCCGGAGGAACGAAGGCAACGGGTATTGTTTTGAGGAGAGAGGAGGTCAGAGAGGTAGGGGGGTGCAGAGGAGTGCAGGGACTTGAATACAAGGGTGAGGATCTTGAAATCGATCTTCTCTGGGATGGGCAGCCAGTCCAGTCTGGCAAGGACTGGGGTGATCGGGGAAAAAAGGGCTGAACTGCTGGCCTCTTATTCCTAATTTTATGTGTTCCAGCCAGCCCACAAGAGCTGATGTGTGAAGTGTGGTATTTATCCGAACCAGCAGCAGGGTGGAGCAAGAGAACAGTGGCTCACAAACCCAATGATTTGTGCAAATCCTTTACCGTCCAGCACATTGGGACATCCTCCTGACATGAAAGGTGCTATATAAATGTAATTTTTGTTGTTTGTGTTAAAATGTCAATTGGTCAAGGATTTGCTACACATTACAGTAACTTCTGTGAAGACCAATAAAGCACTGACAAGGCACCAGAAAAAGCAATTGCCACTAGATGGCCCTATTTTATCAAAGACCATATGTGTGAGAGATTTATAAGCTTTCAAGAACTAATACCAAATAAATTGCTTGTGTAACTTGGAGTTACTTTTAACAATTTGTAAATAAAGTGTGAATTTCCCTCTTAAAATATGATCTTGCTTTATTTAATAGCTGAAGCATATACATATTATATATTACATGTATTATTGTAGAAATAATGCTTGCATTTGATATAGTGCCCTATCATGTCAAAACATCTCAAAGAGCTACACTTTTCTGTAAAGTGTAGTGATTGTATTTGTAGGTGAACACAGCAGCTGATTTGCATAGAATAATATTGCACAGTCAAGAGGTGAATGACCAATCAACTGAGGGATTGTTGGCCTGTACACCAGGAAAAATTCCCTTCTCTTTTCGAACACCTTCATGGGATCTTTATTGTCTGCCTGAATCAGTAGGATAGAATCTTAGTTAAGATCTCGTGCAAAGGATGTCCCCACCAACAAAGCAACTCTTTCCCCCAGTATCAGCCAAGACCGTGACCTCAGAGTCTCCAAGGTAGAGAATTCAGATCCAGGGTAGCGGCTTACATTATAAATAACAGCACAGTGTGCTCCAAGACAGTGACACTCACTTAATTTACTGACTGTTGGTATAAAAAAAACAGCTGTGTTCTGGCCTATCATTAAAAAAAGTTGGTGGGGGGGACACAGCAATAATTCCTGTTTGTCCGCATCTGCAATCCCTGTTCCCAATTGTCCCGGGCTCCACTGTTCTCCTGATGTTACAATGTGTTCTTATTGGCACGAAAGGAAGCCAAGGGTTGAGCTCATGTTATTGGGAGAGACTCAGGAACACATCAAGGTTTTAACCCATTCCTGTTGCGTGGCCAAATCCACAATGGGAGATGGTGGATGCAGAAAGTGTTGATTCTTTGGAATGCAACTTAGATAGATTTATTTTAGGAAATAATATTTTGGGATACATTACAGTCTATGGATAGTTCAGGACATGACAAATGCATGCAACTGCCAGGACTGTGGGAGGTGAACTGGATGGACCTTGGTCTTCTTTCCTCCAGCATTTCCTATGTTCCTATAAGGCAAGGACTGTAACCCAGAATAACAGTGAGCAAACGAAGCGGTGAAGAGGTAAAATCACAAATGGGAATGCGAAACACAAACAAAAAAAGGAAGAGTATTTAGCAAAAAAAAATGTTTTAATGCTCTGACTGTATAAAGATACATCGCTCTGATTGATAATAAATATCCACCCTGTTTTTTTGTGGGTCGAGGGGAGGGGGGTGGGTGGGGAGGGAAGGTGGATAAATAAACCTTTTGAGTTTCATCCTGATATTTTACATTTTCACCATTTTCTACCCTTCACAATTCCTAATAATAAAAATGCGTCACATTCCGAAAATTGATCAGGTAACACACACTCCTATATTCAGGATTCAAGATCAGCCATTGAGTTTTGAGACTGTGACATTAATACAATCCCCTTCCCCCTCCCCACCTCTTCCCCATTTACAGCCCAGATAACACTGACTGATCTGATAACCTGCTATCTGTGTGCATGTGTGACTGCAGTCCCATCGCAGATAAGACTTTGTACATTTTTATTTGCATTCATATCTCATAATTTTTTTCCCTCCAAATGCCTAAAAGATCAACACATCTTTATCCAAAATTCTTTAAAAAATGTATAAAATCGTATCTGTCGTGGGACTGCAGGCACTCGCTATACAAAATAACAAATACATGTATAAAATCTGTATGATTGCAGCTCCATTGCAGATGCGATACGACTCTGGACATATATTTATATACAGATGGAATAAGATTGTTTTCCTACTCCGTTGCTTTGTAGAGATTCCATCGCATGAAACTGACAAGATCCACGCTCACTGCTTTTTAAGACGGGAGAGACCATGGAGCTGGGTTCCTGCTGCAATCTCTCCCATCTGCTCAGATCCTGCACCGAAAGTCTGCGTACACCAACCACAGCGTCAAGGGGTCGGTCAACAAAAACACCCCGTCCGCACAGACAGGTGCCTCTTCAGCCCGATTTAACGTGATTTCTCCCCACTTCACAACAGTGGCATCCGGCAGGGATGACAGACAGACAGACAGACACAGACAGACAGACAGACAGGTGGGTGGGTGGGCTTCCTTCTGCACGGATGCTCGGAAGGACGGGGTCGAGGGAGGTTGTGCGAACTGTAGCGTCGCTTCTCATCGAGTCTAATCTGCAGCCGCTGCTGCTGTGCCATCGCAATGTCTCCTTCGTTTCCCTAAAGGTAAGAAAGTTTTGCACATCGGGGCGACACGTAACTGCACCTCTCCTTCCCTCTCCTCCCCCCCACTCTCTCTCTCTCTCTCTCCTTTGAATTTTAGGCATAAAATGCAAGGATTATTTATTGTTATGATGATAATGATGATGATGATGTTCTCTTTTGTCGCTGTCTCACTGCATTCCCGCAGAATGAATGGTTTTCTATTTTTTTTAAAAAAATCCTGAAATGCACACAGTAAAATGTTGATCGTAATTGCAACAGCCACGTTTGCGAGTCAATTCAATCTGCTTTGCTTGTTGCAACACGTCCTGACCTTCCTGCTGCTGGTTAAGTGACCGACCGACCCGAGTAGGGGGGAAAGGCTGTGTAAGAGCAGAGCAGAAAATACTGCACACTTCCAACAAGTGGAGAGCAAGGAACTTCCTAGATTGAGACTCACTGTTTGCACTTTCAATGAAAGAAACTCTCGGACGTAACGGATAATTGCAAACGTTGGAAATAGTGT